AGCTACAATTGAGGTTGCACAAGCAATCGTATCTATGAGACGAACAGGTTTCGTTATTGTTCTTTTTGGATTGCTGGTTGCTATTGATTCAAGTTGTTGTTGAGGTTCCTGAGTTGGAATCTCCTCTACTGGCTCTCCTTCCAGAGGGTAATCTTCATTTGTTTCCTCCTCTGCTTCTTGTGTAGGAAAAATAAATTTTCCCTCAAACTCCACCTGCTTAGAAGCACCTTCATTTTGTTTGGTATCTTCTGTTACCTTATTTACCATAGCANCCACCAACTCCTTAACCCACCGATGTGGGATAGAAATTTGACATATAATTCAACATGGACGAGTAGTCTCTTTAAAATTGGAGAAAGAAAGATATACTTAGGTAGAGCTTTTCAGTGAAAATGATATTGAAACATTACAACCATATGATCTAAGGTGAAGTTATAATTGTAAAACTGCACTTTCAATCTATATGTTTAACATTTTTATATTTACACCTACCAATTACTCATGTTTTCATGTTTCAAACTGCACTTTTAGTTTTTGCTCAATTATAATTTTAATTCAAAACAAATTGAAGATAATATATGTGCTAGGCAAGATATATGCATGAAAAGTGTTCAAATAGGAGGATGTTCATCCTACGACCCAGTCAAATCATAGGCAAACCGGCTTAATGACCATTTAAACTTATACCATCATCTCGGTATACAATTAGTTTTCAATTAAAAGTAGTTTTCAAGAAAATGCTTAACCGTAATTACTCGAGGCTGGAAATCAACCAACATATTCAATCTTATCCCGCACCGTGGGGTTTGGGGATAGTATGTATACAGACCTTACCCTTATCTTGTGAGGATAAAGAGACTGTTTCCGATAGACTCGGGCCGGAAATGTTAACCATTAATTCGTTATATTTTATGGTTATACTTCTGCAGTGTACAAATGGTAAAGGTTCTCACACACATGAACACTATGAAAAGGAGTAGAAGCTTTTTCCAAATGACCATCTTGATAATGCAAATTAAACAGAATGAGTGATATTTGCTGACACTAGAAAGTGGCTATATCTTTGTCTCCTAGGGTTTGCGCAAACCTATGTTTCTTATACTAATAATCTCTTCTTAATTAATCAAGCTAGGGGTAGGATCCTTTGGTTAAAGATTCAAGTCGGGTCGGGTAAAGATTTGAGGCCATTAATCAAGAATTGACTCTTGACCTTGAACGTGGGGCTGCATTTCGTTTTGTCTCTTGTGGTGTTCACCTTTTTTCTCCATTCGGTAGCTCTTAAGGATTCAACTAATTGAGATTCAAGTCGTTCCGGATGAGAAATTCCGAATGTACGTTCAACATCTTTTCGAATTGATTCTTATTTCATCGCTAAATATTTCTTCTTTTGAAAACGTGACTCACAAATAATTTGCATAATAGTTAATCATTTTGGATATATACTATTAGCTAAATAATAACTCACAACATATTCTTTTTCTTGAATAACATAATAGGCGGGAGGAGCAATATTTTTAGCAAAATTTTTACAACCACAATAATTCTCTACGCCATACACTCAATATTTTAATGATATTGATGGATCTGGAATCGAACTACCAGAATATTAAATTATTGTTATAATTTTCTAAATTATTATGTTATTTAACGTATTTCCAATTTTAATCTAGGTCAGTCGCTAATTCGTTAAATTTATTTTTATGCTATTTAATGAACACTGTATTATTTATTAACAATGTATTATATTTATATTTGCACTTTTTATTTTTGTGATAGTTATATTTTTTTATATAATTATAACTTATAATTAATTTATAATTTTATATAAAATAATATATGTGAAAATTAATTTATAAAAATTATACACCAAAATTAAAATGTATAGTAATTGTATTGATGAATAGTATTACGTCAAAATGTAACAGCATTCGCACATCAAAATAATATAAGAAATGATATTGAGTTGGAGCGTCAAAACATTAATTATTACATTAAAATAGAATTTTGTGTGATATTTAGTGTAACTCAGATTACCGTGGTGAAGCTCATAAAGCAAAAGACAGCATTTTCTAACATACGCCGGGTGCTAGTGTTTGTCACGGCTCCACGTTACACGCCTCCATGAATGGATCCTTCTTCCTACTTCCAATGATTTTTGTCTTTTCACCTTTTATTATTTTACTATTTCTCTTTAAATATATGTTCGAGAGTAGCTTTTTCCTTGTTTAATCGACCAATATATGCGTTATCTCGAAAAGATTCCTTGCAGCAATTTCGTTAAACGCTAATGGTAAAAGAGGAAAGAAATTTCAAAAGGATTGTTTTATGGGGAAAATGAGGTTTTTAATTAAAATTCTTGAGAAGTTTTCCCAAAAAAATAAAAATCTAATATCCTGTTGTACTCTAATTTTCTGTCGAAAAAACAATTATATTATCAGCTCGTTTGTGGGAATGCTTTAACACTATATTCCGAAGACAGTGTTTAGAACAGCTTTTAATTAATAAGTAATGATTAAAGCATCAGTTTTCTACTTGATTATATTTTTTTATTAACTTTACCCGTGCACTACCAAGACGTGGCTGCATCACAGTGCACTATCCTCTTGTCCTCCTTTTTCTTCACCGGCAAGTTCTTCACTGTAATTATGGGGGTGCGCTAACCAAAGCCCAAAGGTATAGCAATCTTTGTAATTGTACTTATAGGGTGTGTTTGGTATAACCGAAAATGTTTTTTGTGTTTTGTGAAAAATAAGTAGTAATTTTATTCATTTTTTTCTATTTGATATACAAATTAAGGAAAATAACTTCTCAAGAATATTTATAAATAATTTAGATATAATAAATATGAAGCTATAAACTTTCAAACCAACAACCTTTCGAACCCACAAATTTCATAAATTTTCGAACCGCTAAACTTTCAAAACTACAGAATTTCGAACCCGTAAACTTTATAATTTTTAAACCGGTAAACTTCCAAACACATGAACATCCGAACTCATAATTTTGGAACTTGTAAAATTTTGAACCTTTAAACTGATAAATAAAAAAAATTAAAACTGAAAAATACATTTAAAAAATATTTTTTTAGGGGGGAGGGAGGGGGCAGGGGTGCGAGGGC